AAAAAAAAAAAAAAAAAAAAAAAATACTAAAGTAAGAGTGGCTATACTCTTGTAAGTGGCCGTGATGCAATCTGCACATATAGCTAAGAAATTTAAAGATATGTGTGAAGTCAACTGACCCGCACTGGGCCAAACCATGTCACCTAACTTAGGGTCAGTTCCGAGCACCGCCCCTCAATGGGGATATATAGCGGGCTAAAGTAAGCTATTAAGAGACACTACAATAAGAATGCGTTACCGTCTCCGATGCGCTCCGTGGAGGAGGCGGGCGTGTCGTCGAGCGCGCGCGCGCTGGCCGCGGGCTCTGCGGCGGAGCGCGGCCGCGCTGCTGGGTACGAGGCGCGCGCCGCCGCACGCGCACTGCCGCCTGCGCGCCGCCGCACCACCTGCACACAAACCACATTTAAATAATACAACACATGACAATGTTAAGCAAATTATCTTTAAAAATAGTTTTCGCCCGTGACTCCGTCTGAATGTAATTAAAAAAAACAAAAGTGAGTGACCTAAGTGTTCTTTCAGACTACCTTCTACATATATACCAAATTTCATCGAAATCCGTTCAGCCCTATATAGGCTACAAACTCTAACAGACATCCATCCATCCATCTAAACTTTCGCATTTATATTATTAGTATTATTAAAAAACTATGGGATATAAAAATTGTGTATTACTTTTCCAGCAGGCAACTGCGTGGAGATAGGTGCGTCCGGTCCGGCTGAGTCGCTGTCGCCGACTGAGGACGCCTCCGCGCTCCCCTCTGCGCTACCTGCTTCGCTGCCCTCCCCGCTACCTTCCCCGCTACCCTCCCCATGGCTCGATGGCTCCGAGCTCGTCGACTCCGCCTCCCCCTCACCCTCAGCCTCACCTGGAATTACATCCCACGTAGTCATTATAATGTAATTCCCATCGGGATATCATAAAATTTGTGTAACTTTCCAGTACACACCATAGGAAGTTTGTGTATCGTTGTGTGTAGATTCGCCATTTACTCGTGTAGTTTCAATAGTCTTAGAAGTGGGACTAGTTGATATGGGATGTGTTTCCACCGGAATAGCGCCCAACGGATCCACCAGCTGTTCTGTTTGCGCCTCCTGTGCGACCTCACAGTCTCTGAGGAAGGGATTGATGCGATTCCGCGATCCCGGTGTTAGTACCGGAGTCAGAGCCGGAGTCTTTGCTTTCTCGAACGTCGAATCGTTCAATTCGTTCTTTGATTCGACTATATCGTTCTTGAGTTCAGTGATATCGTTCCTAAGTTCTGAGATCTCGTTCTTTAGGCCGAGCACAGAGGATTTGGTGCGAGTGAATTGTGTGTAGTCCATCGTTTTGTCGAAGTCCGGTGTGTCGTCGACCGACATGCTGCGGATCGAGAGGGTGTCGTCGTTCGTTAGATTTGTTGATGATACCGCTTGCGAACCTGTGACAAGGAAATTAAAAATGATCAAATTATAGTCAGAGGAAATGTAAAGGAAGAAAATGCTGTAGTTTATTTGATGCACCATGACGCACCATATCCGCTGGAGGATAAAGAAGGCGAGTTTTTATTGGGCGCGCGCTCGCAGGCCAGCTCGTGCAGCGAGTCCAGCGTCTTTGAAGTGGGCAGGAAGCCACGCGACGAGCCGCGACCGCGTGTGCGCTGCGAATATTACATACAATACGTTCAAAAATATCATAGTCTTCTATGGTCTAAAGGTCTTCCTTTAACACTGTCTAGCAAAAATGTATAATCTCTACGTGCTGTTTCGCAAAAATGGAATTATAAAAGCTTTATTTTATTCTTTACATTTGTGAAAATACCGATTGCAAATTTCAAAATTTAAATGCACAATTGGATAACAATTACTGTTACCATGAAAACCATGCTTTTTTGATGTTGCCTTTTCACACATGAGGTTTTTCGCAATTGATATATCCACTACGTTTCATAGCACGAAAATACATAGCCTAAAGAGTATGGTACATATGTGTAGGGATGTTTATTAAAAAAATATGCTGTGATTGCTGACATCCTACGCCACGAAGTAGTGTGTTTACGCTTTATTATATTAGTATAGAATAGATTAATTGTTTCGAGGAGGTAAAACGGAGATAAACATACGTATGAGCGAGGTGTGGATAGTTCGTCGTTGGGCGCGGACTCAGGCTCGGAGTGCGAGTCGTCGTCGTTGCGTCGGCCGGGCTCCTCGTGCAGCGTCGTCATACGCTGCGCCAACTTGCCGCTCGCCGGAGACGCTGCACACACACACCATTAACAATTTACAAAACTCGTCAAATTCATGTCTACTTTAAAATATTAAAGTCGTTAAAACAAACTAAAGGTTAATACGTTCAGTGCCACATAGTCGGACGAGTTAATTTTCAAACAAAAACTGTATAAGTGGCACGGAACGTGTTCGATATGCAAAAAACTTGTAGAAAAAATCTTCTTAGTTAACATACGGAAAAGATCCTGTTACAAATAATTTTCTTTACACTCTACAAATGTTTATTATAATGTATGATATAATTAAGAAATTTAAAATATGATTATACAAACAGAATACAAATAGAATAATTGGAACGATGTTACAAGCAGTGCTATTCTGCAACACTTATCCATCGGAATGCGGTGCTCTGATGTTTTGATGATAAAAATTTTGTTCTAATGTAATGAGTAGTAATAATTTTGAAACACAAAATGTATCGCCAATTCATGCTTAAAACCAAAATCGGAACAAATTTTCGCACAAGAATAAATTAGTGAGTAAATAGTTTCAACAACGTTTCTGAAAACTTTGGGACTAAATTCGATCTGATTTCGGCTTGGTATGTATAAACATATTAATGTCATGCCAATATAGCACCAATAACTTACTCCTAATGAGTCAGCAAATAAAATTCAAACACGGCTTAGAAAATGAACTAATCTCGAATTAAAACTAACCTTCATTTTAAATTAGATCGCTTCATTTTCTATTGACGGATATAATTCAAAGTGAAGGAAGAATCACACAAAGTAATTTAAGATACGAAATAACTAAAATTGTCGAAATAAGCCATTCTAGCGATTCTACGACTTAAATGTTTGGACGTACACTTGTTCGGAGTTTGTAGTCGCAGTGAGTTCAGGTTCAAATTCAAGTTTAGGAAGGTTGGCCGGGCTGCAAGACAAATATTAATCACCTTATCAATATTAGACACTACAAAACAATATTCCAACAATAACAATCAAATTTTTGACAACTAATTATAGTTATTATATATTCGAGTTATACAAACATTAAAAACATTGGTTACTTTTTGTAAATGCTACAATTTTTAATACCATTGACTTAACACAATCTAGTGCATGCGTAGTTTACACTAACACCCTTTGTTACAATAACAATCATACGATTGTCTACATCCATGCACTTCGTTGTTATACACACACCATCCTATTTACCGTATTTTGTCTATAACTACTATTATTCTACACAAACACTGCCTTTCAAGTTTGTTTACACATCAAAATTCATTGTACATTTTTTTCTATATTTTCTATAACACAAGCAAAGTCATTTTGAAGCACGTTTCGCTCGTAATCCACGGCGATTTACATGATGGAGGTAAGGTATCAACAAATCATGCTCGGTACATGCAAATAAAACAAACCACGCAAACAAAAACATAACTGAAGCTAGCTCGAACGCTGGAGGCTTGCTGATCCAGTATACATCTAATAGCTTCAACATTAAGGTCTAAATTCCAGTGCCCATTGAAAATCGACTAACTGTGTTACTTAGCTATTAGAAGAAACAAAATTTAGAATAGCCAATAGTCTTCGAATTTAATACAGCCAATTCATAACAGAAAATAGATGTTAGTGAAACGGTATCCACACAGCTATTTTGTTTCAATTAAGTCTGCAGTAACATTCGTCTAATAATTTCGCCATACATTTGCCATTCCGAGTCAATACGATGTATTGGTCCTTTTACCTGATAAGAACGAGCCTGCAGGTAGCGAGGGTTGAGATACAGAAAAAATACGTTAGTTCAAGCCGATATAATGTACGGCTGAGATTAAATCACACCGCACAATATCTATTTGAATAGAACTGAATTAAGACGAACAAACTTGTAAAAATTCTATTCAAATTAAATATTTTCAGTGTTAAGCCAATTTTGAAAATCGTTTTTTTATTAATTTTGATACAATACTTAAAATAGAAGGGAGTGAAAAAGAAGATTGTAGGAGATAGGGTTAGCCATAGCATTGCCACAAAGCCAGTGGGGAAAAGATGTTGGATTATGTTAATTTGGTGTATTTGAAAGGCGAAAAGTATGTATTTAACCCTGATTACATAAAAATGTGTGTTCAAACGATGTGCTTTGATATGAATGACTACTTCTACAAATCTTTATCGTGCAATTTCATGTAGTTATAACTCTAAAAAATTATTTTCTATGTGCTACTTAATCTATTTGTTTTGTTTTGTATATTTTATGTTATCTAATGTTACAATATGCATGAGTGCGTTCACTGTGTTAATGTTACAAAAGGCATAACAAAATAAATATGAAATGCTTGAGAAGAAACATGATAGTTTGTATTTAAAGATGGAAATCCTTCACATTTATGCAAACAAATTATAGGTCTTACTCCAAGTTTTTTTTCTAATACTGCTAATTTTACATTAGATATAAAATCGTGAATTTTTATAATTATGGGTTACTATTTAGGACAACGAAGTTCTAAATGAAATAAAGACCTGAACAATCAATTACGAGTGTCTTTTTATGACTGAATGGCCACTGTTTGCCTTGAAGAGGCATTTACAGATTCACCAAGCTTGAGGTGGCCGAGCGCATGGCGCATAGCCTTAACTTCGGTAATGAGTAAGACGAGTGTCGTTTACAAGAAATTGTATATATTAATTTTACATTTCTATACATTTTTAAGTAGCATATACAAAGATGTCACATTTCATCCTATCATAAATCGTTTCTATAATTTACAATATTTAGAAACCACAATCATATCGAATACTAAAATTATACACAATATAAATTACCTAATATTATTTATTATCTAATTATTTATATTTAACTCACCTAGTCCGAAGGTTTTAGGTGGTGTGCAAGGGTCTGCGTCGTGCGCGTGCGAGGGCGCGGCGTACGAGTGGCGATGTCTGCGCGGCGGCTCCACCGCCAGGTCGGCCACGCTGCCGGACCGCGCGCTGCCCAGACCGGACAGCGACTCCAGAGATGAATCCAAACGCATTATCTGTACGATAATTTTATATTTATATATCTAAACGTAATAAAAAATTTAGTATTTTTTCATATCCGTCCCATTGTAATTCCAGAATAGAAAATATCGCATCAAATGCTGATGCAATATGAAACTATGTCTGTATAATATTTTTTTTTGACATCTGATTTCTGCTACAGCCTTCCACCAAACCTCAGTGCTTCACTTGTGCTACCAAATTGCACTATTTACCTTCACCTTTTATATTTTTATAATTTCGTTAAAGAGTGTAAAGATAAATCAAATACAATACGAATTTTCAAACTCTCGAGAATCGATTACCAACTTTTTTATATTTTAATGTAATCTGACATCGCAACTAAATAACGAATATAGCGAACAATCTACTTCATTTAACCAACAATTAATGAATATATTTTTTATACTACTAATGGACACAATTGTTCAATATTGTTATGATAAAGTAAATACGATGAGAGAATCGTTTGACCTATTTACAATGTGACAACAATGACAGTTCTACTTCATGCAACATAATGCCACGACACTTGTGCGACAGGTTGCGCAGACAGGCACAAAGGCTAACACCAATAAGCTGACAGCAAGACAGTGTTCTCGTATCGGAAAGGAGTCCCCTATTTGGTTGCACTTCGATAGCGAATTGTTAAACCCATTTACGTCAATCAATTTCGATATGTTTTAAATATTTTTAAGCTGTAAGTAAACATATTTAGCCCTATAGAAGTTATTACAGTTAGAGCGGGTGCACACCTTTGACTAAACTATAGCACAACTGTGGTGCGATTGTCGATTGTTTCGTTGCCCATTCAACTGTTTAGTTGCACAACTCCTTCCGCACCTTCATATAAGGTTATAGGAATCAAATCGAGACAGTTTTGCGATAGTTTAAATCCCTTTCTCTTTACCATCCTTTTCTTATAAGGAGAAGTTGGGAAGGGGAAAAGGTTTTGACGGTGGAGGAGATGCATAGGAAGGGGAAATATGCTCTTTATGTGCGTCTACTCCTCCGTCGTATAAGGGTAGGCAACGCATCTGTGATTGCGGATGTCTATGGGCAGCGGTCGCTTCGCCATTTTGGCGGATTCTAGTGGCCGCTTGCTCGTTTGCCACTTTATGTTATAAAAAAAATGTTTAGTCAAATTTGTGCGCGCATGACATGACGCCAGAAATTGGCAGTTTTTGGACAGAAACGATTCAATCTAGCAAAAAAACACGTTTTAATCATTTGTAAGAAGATTGCCGTAAGAGCTGAACGCATCGCTACCGGTGCTATGTACATGTAGTGACGTATGGCGGTGACGTATGACGACATGCGCACTCACGTTGCCGGCGGCGCGCGCGCTGCCCTCCAGCGCCTGCGACAGCTGCGCCGCAATGTGGCAAGCGCAAACACACAATGTATAACAAACTGATGTGCCCGCACATATATACTATATTTTATTACTAAGTTGTGTACATTTAACGTTTTATTGCTGAAAAACTATATAAATAACACTTTTATAACGATATACGTAACAAATAATATATTTAGTACAGAAAAAATATTTATTGAAGTTTAGATATTTTCATACTTATTGTTTTAAGACATTGAATTTTATGCAAGTAAGGATAATAGGATAAACGTAAACTAAAAACTGGAAAATATAAATTAACCACATTAAAACAGAGATTTTATTAAGTAAAGTGCTAAAAACAAAACTCAGTGATCGATTTGAAAGCGATAAAAAGGTTACAACGCTTATATGTATTGTGTTCAGACAGCTGTGTTGTTAGATGTCGCGAAAGCCACGATATTCAAAGCAGTTAGTTGCATATTACATTGCAATGCAAATCAGTTAAATAACATTAAATTGTCGTGGTTTTTTACAAATATGTTCGTAAGATAGGGGTTTCTTACCAAGATTGGGTTGTTTTAGCACAGTTGACTAGCTGGTCAACCACTGCCAAAATATCGGGAGGTAAAACAACCCAATCGCAAGAAATCTGTAATTACGGTTAAAAGCTATACATTTATAAAATTGTTAAGCCGGAAATAGCATAAACTGCAATGAATAAGCGGGCAGTATAACGTTTAGATCGAGAGCATGGCAACATTGATCGATGAAGGTACATAAAGAGACTTACGTCGCCTCCGCAGATGTCAATGTGAAGGCGACTTGCGCCGCGCGCCGCGAGCTCGGGACTTGCGTCTCGCAGGAGCCAAGGGAACGTGCGCCGAACTAACTGAAATATCCGAAACACCGTCCAATGGGCCTTTGACATCTGCTGAGGTCTGTCACTTCATCAACCAATACACCCATACTATTTCAAATCAATCTATCCTTTTGTATTGAAAGCTGCGATTCAATAACAAAAAAAAATTATGAGACCAACTCAAAGGTATATTTATGTAAAATAATACTACAAAGTAAAAAACATTATACCTTTAAGTCGGTAAAATTAAATAAAAACATAATTCAACTTCAAATACGTCTTCCATTTTGTCTACAAAAACAAAAGGAAGACAATTTAAAGCATGAAACAGAATATGAATGAAATGAATGTAAGATGATTTGCCTTTCCGTCTCATTGGAAACGAGAAAGGCATAACAGTGTGCGATGTGGGCGTGTCCGGGCGGTGTGTGGGCGTGTCGGGGGCGGGGCGGGCGGTGGCGGTACCTGTGAGAAGTTGGGCACGGAGGCGGTCTTGCGCATGGTGAGGGTGTGCCCGCGCGCCTGCTCCAGCTCGCGCACGGCCACGCTCTGCCGCAGCCGGTCCAGCGTCAGGATGCTTTCCACCGCGCTCACGCCGCGAGTGTACTTCTCTGGAAACAAACATTTGCTTTTTTTTTATCATTATTACTTTAATATGCATTTTTATGTGATTATTTGGTACGAATAAAGTTTGAATGCCACATACAATGGACAAGATGTATTTATTTATAATTATAGTCAAAAAGTAAGTTAAGAAATAGAATACTGAGTGTTAGTTTAAAACGTACTCAGTTATACTAAAACAAAAATTGTTTTTCATACAAAATGCTGCGTAAAATGTTTAGGTTGCAGATCGAGTGGTGAAGTCATTCATCATCATCATCTCCCCTGCCTTATCCTACTCCCATAGAGTCGGCGCACTGGGTTTTCGTCCTCCAAATAACTCTATCATCCGTCATCTCAGTCATTGGTGGGGAAGCCATTCAGGACTTCTAATCTGGGATATAATATCCCAAGCTATTTAGTGATTTATAATAAATGTAAAAGTTTCTATGTTGTACCTATATATGTCTCTCCGTCTGCGGCGCTGGCCTCCTCCCCGGTGGCGGCGATCTGCGCGAGGCTCTCGCGCTCCTCCAGCTCCTCCGACGCCTTCGGGATGTTGGACACCACCTCGTACGTCACGCCCGTCTGCGTCAGCTGGTCCGTCCTACAACCACACATTTCTATACTAATTCAAACACAGAAGAGTTGCCATAGCAGAAAGTTGCAGATTTCAATCCTATCAGATGCAATCTGAGTCGTCAATTCGTCACTGAATATACTGATTAATTCTGAGTGCATTAGTAACATTGTTAAGGAGAAAACCGATACCATTGGAGAACAGGGCAAACCTAGATCATAGGCACACACTTCCCGTTCCTAGACATCTGTCAATGTCATTCAGAAATAATCGCGTCATTCTCGCGAGAGTTAGTGATCTGAGTGTTAAAGTTAATTTATTATCAATAATAATAATAATAGCCTTTATTTCGACAATCTTACAATTTACATATAAACTTAACAATTTTGATTTTAAAATTCATTTGACACCGGTTTTAAAATTGCGTTGCGGAAACCGCATAGGCCTCCCCAAAAGTTAATTTATTATATAGACATAAACGTTGATTTTAAATTAAAGAAGTAAGTATTTACCTAACAATTTTCTTCCGTATCCTGTCAGTGAGGCTCTGTCTCTTGTATATGTTGAGTGCGAGGCGCTTGCGCAGCACCAGGTCCATGGGCGCGGGGTGCGACAGCCGCACCGTCGTCTTCAGGATCAGGTACACGCGTTCGTTGGCTATAAACAATATGTATTTAGAAAAAAAATAACAAAACCTGTCAAGTATTAATTGTAAAAGTTCGTACTTAATTAAAAACGTGTTAAATAGTGTGGTTACGAATACGCATCCCAAAAACTTTTCCCTCCCATATTTACAAATGCGTAAACGTCTATATATACTAATATTATAAAGATTTTTATTTTCGTATGTTTTGAAATACGTCTAAACCTACCGGGCCAGTTTTAATAATTTTTTCACCATTAGAAAGCCCAGAAACATTATCAGTGAGTAACATAGGCTATTTTTTAATATTTTTTAATCTCGCGGACGAAGTCGCGATTAACAACTAGTGTATAAATAATTTCCGATGACTATAAGCCTATGTTAGCGTTTGTATACTGACGTTCAGTGATCCTGTTGAGGTACTGCGAGTCGTGTATGGAGGAGTCCCAGGAGGCGACGGCGGCCACGTCCTTGTCGTGGTGGTGCAGGAGGTGCAGCTCGTAGAAGCGGTGGCCGTGCTCCTTCGGCAGGATGGAGTTCAGCCCCGCCACCGTCACCTCCTCGCCCGACGGGTGCGTGCTCAGGTCGTCCGCTGTGCAAACACATCCCGCACATTCACTTTTAAAATAGCAAACTAATTAAAAATGGCTCAACTCTCATATTATAATATCCCGGTGACGGCTCCGACAAGTTTCGGAGTCTTTTTTTTTTAATTCATAAGGTGGCAAATGAGCAAGCGGCCACCTGAATCCGCCAAAATGGCGAAGCGACCGCTGCCCATAGACATCCGCAATTGCAGATGCGTTGCCTACCCTTATACGACGGAGGAGGAGACGCACATAAAGAGGATATTTCCCCTTCCTATGCATCTCCCCCAAATCCACTTCCCCTTCCCATTCTCCCCTTATAAGAAAAGGGTGGTAAAGAGAAAGGGACTTAAACTAGGCCTCCGGCATCACACTCATCAGACGAAACACGGAATTGCTTCCACTTCACGCCTGTCTTCTGTGTGGTCGTGGTATTACTGGGGCGGTGCCGGCCCTGCAGTGCTAAGATGTTAAAGCGGGCACTACCACTGTTATCTTCAGGGCGTCCTTAAATCGCTTACGCGGGCGCATCGCGCCTTACACGTGCGTGGACCCTTGACGGGTCCGAAACTAATCGGTGCCGACACCGAAATACCTTGAGTTGTGCCGATTTTAATTCGTTTTAATATCTCACGAAAGTTTAAACAGTGTAGTTGAAATAGCAATATCATTTGACTACTGTTTATTTAAAATGTACCGTTCAAGTCCAAAAAGAGAACAGGTATGTGTTGCTCCATGCCGGAGGGGGGGCTCCAGGCGGCCGGCGCGCCCGGGATGGGGCTGCCGGGGCTCGGCACCAGCACCTGCGACACAAGTACATCTGTTATTAACATCTGCAAAGTTTTCTATAACAATATTATATAGAGGAAATATTTGCATTTTGGTATGTATTGAAATAACTCAATACTACTGGGCCAATTTAAAAAAATCTTTCACCATAAAAATGCTACATTATCAGTAACAGTGGTTTTTTAATGCATTCGAAGTCGCGTGCAACAGTTAGTATGTTATAAAGATATTGGAGACCACTTACCGCGTTCCTTTCCTCCGTTAGCGACACCCACTGCTCCACGAGAGACTGCTCCCTCTCCATATCGCGTTCGCTCTTCATTGACGGTGACATGTTCACCAATTTCTATAAATATAACAAAAACAGTAAGACATACCATAAATAATAAAGTTAAACTTATTTTACATAACACACATTTTAAAAATACTATTTTATACATTCTATAAATACTAAAAATTAGATAGGTGGATGGATGTTAGTAGTCTAAACTGCTGAACGAATTTCGATAAGATTTTTTGTAGATATAGAAGATAAGAACACATATGCTACTTTCTTTTGTTTTTTTAATTCCCCGAGGACAGAGTCGCGGGCGAAAGTTAGTTTTAAATAAGGCCTGGGCAGTTTTGTCGGTAACAATGAAATATGAGACCTGTAGCTGTGCGTGCAGGTGCTGGCGGCGCCGCGCGAGCGCCTCGCTCCATCGCTCTCTTAACACTGCTAGATCCTCCTCCTGGTAAGAGTCTAGGGGCTTTTGTAAACGAGATCTGTAAATACATCAAACATTTCAAACTGACATCACTAGTTTCTCATCCCTATAAGATTAGAATTGCAACAAGTATGTTATAAATATTAGTAGATTTTTCTTAATTTACTAATATTTCCTTTAACCATTCCAACTAAGCTCTAGATTTGTGCAAGGATTTGGTTCACAATAGTCGTATGGCGGGATTCTAACCCTCAAGGCCGGTAGTCCGTACCCCAAATCATTAGCCTATTGGTGATTAAAATATGAAGTATTTGTTGCGATATCCGGCTCAAAGGACCACTGTTTGCTTTACATTGCATTAGATACTGAGGATAAAATAAGAAGTAAATACTACTTTTAAAAAAATATTCGTAAGAGATCAAAAGAAGAATCGTTTTTCAGCAAGTCCGAAAAACAAGTAGCGTTACCTGACGGTGACGGAGCCGAGCTCGACGCTGACGATGTGCTGGCAGATGATGGGCAGCGTGCCGGAGTTGTGCGCCGGCCGCACGCGCACCGCCACGCGCCGCTGCTGGCCCTGCCGCAGCTGGTACACGCCGCCAGTCACCATGTCGCTGCGCTGCGTCACCTGCACACATACACACTGTAATACTCTACTCTATTCTTTACATTTAAAGTATTCATTTTTAGAAAAAAAAAAAACATAAAAGCAAATCCTGAAAATAATTTCAATTGAAACATTTTCAGACCGGTTCTAAGTTAAAATGACTATAATTCTGCATACTTCATTATTTATTTCATATTTAAAATTCGCTGATTCTGAATGTATATGTCAATATCGCCTTTACTTAGGTTTGGTGGATTCGTGGGCAAGCGCTGGTTTATTTATTTAAAAAAAATGGCGGTTAAAACAAAGCCTTAGTAGCCTGTCATCCGTCGATATATAAACAATGAAATACAAGTTTTTATATTGCGAAAGGAGTCACAAAGGTATTGTTGGCGACGTAATTGCTATGCCTACTCGCTGTTACACGTGCCGCCCTTGGATGCACCTCGCGGCACGTGTAACCTCGGATGACCCCGGCCGGACTGTCGTCGCGCGCCGCCGAAGGGCGGCATCTTTTGATGTTCCTTTAACAGCGCGCGGCGAAGGACGCGGTGTCTTTGATTTAACAAAAATTAATAAAATCATGGCACGAGGCAACAATTATTGAGGTCGCGGTAAAATATAAATAGTTAATGTTTAACATATTTGACGTGCAGTATCTTGGTAGCAATAAAGGCGTCAGTATCTCCGAGAAGAAGTTTTTATTTTATCATACAGTCCACTACAGGTATGTACCTCAACTGGGGCGTACTCTCCGTTGTCGTTGAGTTCGTGTATCTCTACCCAGAGCTGTATCTTGCGCGTGAGCTCCGCCCAGCGGTCGGCCAGCGAGCGCGCCTTAGCCAGCTGGCGCTGCTCCACATCCCAGCTGCCGCGCGCGCGGCTGAACCCCGCGGACCGGTGACCCCACACCTCGATTGATAACGCGCCCTCTGCACACAAACTACAACTTTAATTTCGCCCATCAATATAAGTAAACAAACATCAAGATATAGAAATCACTAGCTTTCGCCACGAACCTTATACGCGTGGGATTAAAAAAAAAACAAAACTGATTAGCTTGTGTTCTTCCAGACTATCCTCTACACCTATGCCAAATTTCATCCAGATCCGTTCAGCCGTTTAGGCTACAAGCCTCTTACAAACATCCACCATCCATCCATCTAAACTTTTGAATTTATAATACAAGTATGATTTAACCCTTAAAAGCCTGTTTTTCTACTAATTTACCTGCACAATGTTCCACAAACTCCTCAGTGAGGGGCAGCTTGAAGTCCCGCTTGTGGTCGAAGCGCACCGTGAGGTGGCTGGCGTGGGCGGGGCCGGCGCGCGGCGAGGGCGGCGCGTCGGGCACCAGGGGCGGCACCACCACCGGGTCGCCGCCGCCCCACACCGAGTACTGACAGAACACGAAGTGCGACAGCGACGGCGGCAGCCCTGTCGCCTGCTTCACGCTTACACGGATCGTCACCTGCAGGACAGACAATGTTCAATTAAAAAATTGAGAATTGCGATTTTTCTTTTTTTTTAAGCGTACACATCTAGAACTATCGTGGTGATCAACGATATAGATAACAGAAACTTTCTAAAACACTCGTTAAGTGGTGACTGACCTGCTGCGATGCTTGGTCGATAAGCTCGTCTTCGTCACGCATGTCACCCGAGCTATCTGAGGCAGCCTCACAAATCCTGTCTTGAGGAAACTGTCCCGCCACTCTGCTTATTTCCACCTATATTTAACACACAAATATTAATAAGTTATTCGAAGTCTTCCGTATATAGTAAGTTCGGTGTATACATACCTGCAGCCTGCCCGCCACCTCCCCCTGCTGGCTGATGATGGGCGTGTGGTAGTCGAGGGTGACGTCATGGAACAGCGCCTCCAGGAACACGTTGGCAACACCAATCAGGTTGTGGTTCTCTTGAGACTCGTAGAATGGATCCAAAGCTTTATCGGTCGTTTCCTGGTAATTAAAATTGTTACTTGGTTACTTTTAATTTTTAATATCTCTTTGAATACTTCTTTACTGTTAAAACAAATATTAAGGCAAAAAAATCTAAATACATACGAATATGATTTTGTTTTTATTTTACATTAATTAAAAATAAATTAATCTTTTAGAGACGTGCGATAAAATGTATCTAAAATGAAACAAAGAAAAAAATATCGAATTCGGAATTTTCACTCAACTAAGCAAAAAAATATGTACTTACATTGCTAGTTACAAAAATATAAGAGAGAAAAATCAACAGGAAGTGTTCATCAGAAAATTAAAATGTGATTTTAAGCATTTCTATCAGATGTGCAATAAAAAGTTTATTTTTAAATAAATTGTAATGTAAGATACAGTCAGTCCTTTAGTATATATTTAGATTGAACGAGTATTCAAAAATATTTTAAGAAAACAAATAAAAACCATAAGTAAAAAGTTAAAGAATCCATACTATCTACAAGATTTTATGAGATGAGTAGATGCAAACAGAACATCAATGTAAAGTTCATAAAAACTCAAAAATGATTTATTTGTACAATAAACGCACCGTTGGCGATTCTGCATCTAATTGTACCGCATCCTGAAAGTTTCATAATACTGTTGTATTTATACATATAAAGCGATAGTTTTAATTTTTTTTAAACTTTGAGCAGCCAATATTTAGAAATACTATATTTCTAAACTTCATCTTTATCTATACTAATATCATAAAGAGGAAATATTTGTATTTTTCTATATATTGAAATAACTCAAAAACTACTGGGCTGATTTAAAAAATTCTTACACCATTAAAAGCTACGTTATCACTGAGTAACATAGACTACACTTTTTATTATTTTTAATACCAGAAGACGAAGTCGCGGGCAAAAGCTAGTTTTCTATAATTTGATCAACGGCATTTGTGTTAAAACAAGATTAACGTAAGACAGAGGACAAGAAACAATTATTTCACATATTGATTAATATGGCTACGTGTCTTTATTAGAGAGATGGCTTGTATTTTTTTAGAGGGAAATGACTTATTAGTGTTTATAGTGGTGATCATATTTACCTCTTCGGGTTGCTGCTCGCCGCGCTGCTGGCGACGCCGCCAGTCGTCGTACATGTCGCGCATGTCCACGAGCTTGTTGTCGAGCTTCTCCATAGACCACACCTGTCCGCCGCGCGCGCCGCGACGCACCATTATAGCCGGCTCCGATACGAACGCCCCACGCTACCAAATATCATCGTTTCACTGATGTTTTTTTTTATTATAATTGTTTTGTTGCGTTTTTTTAGATAAGTGTAAATAGGATGAGTCGTGAATATGAGAATTCGGAAGGATGGAATAGGGTTATTGTACAATCCGGGAATCTGGTGATGCTTTACCTTGCTGCAACGTTTTGTACATAATGCGACTACAACATAGAATAACCAATAGGATGCAACCTCAAAATGGATATGTAAAAAAATATATGGTTAACGACTTTTTATTATTATCCCGACAATAGGACAACTCAATGCTTTCGAATTGATTTTCTGTAAGAATATGTACAGTTAATCTTACTGCTAGGTGCAATATAATTTTATGTGCAAGTGTACTAGCGCGAAGCGGTCGGAGTGTACCTTGCGGTTGGGCGAGAGGTTCTGCGGCGGGATCTGCAGCGTGACGCCGAAGCGCGTGTGGCGGCGCATCTCCTCCGCGAGGAAGTTGGCCTCCTGCACGAGCGCGTTGGCGCGCAGGATGTCGGCCTTCAGGCGGCCCAGCGAGCGCCGGAACGTGTCGTCGCGCTCCGCCGCCCAGCGCTCCACGCGCGCCGCCGTCGTCGGCGTGCACGCGCTCATCTTGCCTACGGCAAGTGTATCATTCATTTCAAATTATTCATTAGTTTTCGCCCGCGACTCTGTCCGAGTTGATTAAAAAGAAACTGATAGCCTATGTGTTCTTCCTGAGTATCCTCTACATATGTGCCAAATTTTATCGAGATCCGTTCAGCAGTTTAGGCAACAAACTCTAATAAACATCCATCCATCCATCTAAACTTTCGCATTTATAATATTAGTAAGATTATATCGTGACAATTGTGACAAAACCAATAGTGCATACATGCCAGTGATAATGTACATTGCTAAGGGCGAAAGTAATTTTAAAATCCATACGAAATGGATCGTTTTCGAATTTTTCGGGACATGCAAAAATACGTCTCCTCTTTATAACATTAGTACACATCGATATAATTTTGAACATATTAGTGTTTAATTTTAAATTAATAAAACAAATGTTATTTTTGAATAAAAATGGTCTATAAATCAATGATAAAATTAGTTACATACCAAGTTTTAGTGGGTCGTAAGAGTAGGGCGGGTACGGCGTTGTCGGTGACAAAATGTTTCTGAGCTGTTGGAACTGACGCTCGTATTCCTGTCTCTGTTTCTCCAGTGCCACTGAAACAAATACAAATGTAAATATTAGATACACTCAATACTCATTTAATTGCATTCATTCATTCATTCAATCGTTCACTCTTTCATTCGTTCTTGTACCTTGTTTGTCCTCCTCGTGCTGTCGCTCGAGGCGCGAGATGGCGGTCTGTATGGGATCGTTGCTAAGTTCGTTCAGCATGATCTCGTCTCGTGCGAAGTTGTAGTCTATCTGCTGCGCAGGCGTCTGAGGCTCTGATGCTGCCGCAGCTAGAAATACAAATATACATGTCATTAATCATACTAATATTCTGGACAAAATTAGCCTAAATTAGAATAGCCTAGAACACATAGGTTACCTACTTTGGTTTTTTTTTAATTCCACGCTGACCAAGTCGCGGGCGAAAGCTAAGAATTTACATAAATAACTATCACACTCACGGCTGGATAGTGAAACGAATCTTAAATACTTTGCTTCTGACGGATGTCAAATTTTAATGGAATAAAGTATGGATTATAAGACACTGTTAGACTTTTATGATAAATGCTATTTTAGTATTCTGCATCAAAATTCTTAAAAGGCTTAAGGGAGAACTTTAGACTGAATTCTTTATGATAAATCGTCACAAGCAAAAAGCATATTTATAATATGAACTACATAGTGTATATTATACAAAACGCTTTAGTGTTTTTTGGGATTGCTTCTTGTGGTTATGTGTGTTTTCGCATGGCGTTCTCTTAATAAGTGGCAGGTAATTTTGTATATATACCTGTGTCTTTAGGACAGTTGACCCTGAAGAAGTGGTGATTGCCCCAGAGGATGCGGTCGCCGTGTCCGAGGCGCGCGGGGGCGGCGACCGGGGCTCCGTTGAGGAAGCAGCGAGCGCCGGCGCGGGGCAGCATGAGCAGCGCGCCGCCCTCCAGCGCCAGCTCGCAGTGCTGCGGCTGGATGCCCAGCCCCGATAGCTGGATGTCCGCAGACCGGTCCGCGCCCACCAGCGTGCGCTCCTGGTGACATGCATAAGGGTGAATGAATACATATAAAATAAGCGCTTACCATTCGACCACATTACTTAACTTCAAGTGGGATCGTGGGTAAACATTAGTTTATACATCATAAAAAACACGTCTTCTTACTACAAAGTCCTACATTGGGAACATTATTATACGTGTTACAACCACCGTTTCATTAACACCCATACATTACATTCAAAACTATATTCTTTGAAAAATTCTTAATTTAGACATAAACAGTAAGTTCTAAGTAGGTAAGTTATAACATAAGCAATGGAACTGTAAAGAAAAAATAAAAATAGATAAGTTTTTCAAATTAAAACTTATGATTGGCTAAAAGCCATTTAGAGCGGGCGTATACCTTTAACTAAGCTATCGCAAAACGGTTGTACGATTGTCGATAGTTACCCATTCAATGCAACTGTTTAGTTGCACAACTAAAAATCGATTAGTGTAGTAGCGAAACCTCCATATAATCTCATAAGAATCAAAGCAACTAAACAGTTATGCGATAGTTTAGTCAAATGTCTTTTGCTGTTAACACGTAAACTCACTTTCAAATAATATACGAGTAGTTCGTTGAGCGAGGGGTCTGCGTTGAGATTGACGAGGTAGTACTTGTTCTTCTCCACTTTGATGCCACTCGCCTGCACGCTGATGCCCATCTTCTCCAGCGCGTGTTGTCGCTCGCTTTGGATACGACCTGATACAAAAAAATCTCAAATCAGACTAATTCTATATGATCTTACAAGCAGCGCATCAACAATGACAACGATCCTCTAGTAATGAAATACTTCATGATAAATCATTTTGTATAAGCCTGGAATAAGTCGATTTGAAGATTTGATAAAGATTTCATAAGGCCTTTTTTTTGGTGTTGGGGATAATCCTCAAAAGATACCTTGCCTTCTGGGGGAAAGGCATGGTTATGTAGGATTTGACCTACTAAAACCCCTCGGTGGCCATCCTCTAGTGACATTGACGAAGGTTCCGGGATGTCCAAGGAACACACCGGAACTATTGAGTAAGGCGTAGTCATCCTAAAACAGGGCAAGCTCCGAGCTCAGTGGGGACGTGAGAGGTGGTGATGATGAATGAATGATGAAATGAGATGCCAACCTGTTTCGACTAGCTTCTCCTCCCACGTGCGCGACATTTCCTTCATCAAATGTTCGCTTTGAGCCAACTGTTCATGCACATCCTCGCCCACAGGTGAACCCTGTTAATAATCATAATCATTAGCCAAACACAGGTATTTAAGAAAATTCATAGACTAGACATAGTGAACAACATTTTTTTTACCGGTAACTTCTATGAAAGGTATGTTAGTTGTCACGTATAGTGCCACCTCATATCTTTGTATTGACATGTTATAAAACATTTTACATTATAATAAGTACTATCTTTTGTTATAAAATAAACTAAGTAATGTCACAAAACAAACATTTAAATGTGACTTAGGGACATCTATTTTTTAATTCATAAATATCTTAAATGAAGTGTCAACTATGCTTCCTCTATATATTTTTGAATCTCTTTGGCCAAACAGTGAAAATCTTCAAGTTTTTTAAAGTGAGTGAATGAAATGAATGATTGAAGTGTGTACCGTAGCGTGTTTGAGCATCTCCTTAAGCGCCTCGACTTCCTGGCGCAGCTCACGTATGATGCGTGCGTTAGGGTCCTCGTTGACGACGGCGTGGTTGACGATACGCTTAGCGCGGTCTGCGTACCGCAGCGTCGACAATGTCTCCTCGTAATTATCAGCCGCGGGGGACACCGTCGCCACCTAACGGAAGACATAATAAACTGTAACTCCACTGACAACGTGTTGACGCTTTTTTTAACTTCTACATTACTTAGGCATAAAATAAACATTAATTTTGTTTTCAAAGAAGACTATTAGTATTTGTTATTAATAATCATGCAGCCAATAATAGGTAATCACGAATAGAAATATTGTACAAAGATATTATGACGTGAATGAACAATATAAAAACCGAAATTGTAACAGCACAAAAAAAGACTTTTTAGAGACATACCATAACAGTCTTGCTGTTGCCGCCCAGGTTATCCTTGAGTAGCCAGGTAAGCACGGAGTCTCTGTAAGGTACGAACTTATCGCGGTTGGTCTTGCCCGACGATTGGTCCGCTAACTTTGATATCACCAAACCGAGCGTTGTTAGGGATCTGCGAAAAGAAAAAAAATACGAAAATAAAAAAAATGGATTTAAACAAAAATCAACAGCTACAAATTATTGTGACTTAAAGTTGTGAAGGATTACTAAAGGTAGAAAGGAAATCCTTAATAAAGCTTCCCACTTCAAGGTAAGTGCTTTGTAGGAAAACTTTCGTCACTTCACCGTTTCCTTGATTTAATGGCCGGAGTTTGAATTGCGCAGAGATTAAAGTCTACCTTTCTGTAGCAATTAACATAACGATGAATCTAAAACTCCTCCTTGATACGATGCTATCGGTTACGTTGTTATTTACTTCACAAACTACATTTTCATAGAGTTCATTAGTAAACATATTTTCATTTTAACTAGCCCGAGACTTCGTACGCATAGAATTTAAAAAAAAATTAAGTAGCTTACGTGTTTTTCCAGACTATGCTCTACATCTGTACCAAACTTCATCGAGATAGTCCAACAATTTAGGCTACAAACTCTAACATTCATCTATCCATCTTATCTTTCGCATTTATAATATTAGTTAAATGTTCTTATCTGGACAGAAAGCTATATTTTATTGTAAGTGACTTACTTATTAATATTAGATCCCTCTTTAAGTCTGTCGCCGACTGCACCCGTCTTGACCGCGCGCTCTGAACCTGCCAGGTCCACGAGCGACAGACGGGCGACTTTTTCGCCCGACACGCCGGTCGCCGCGTCCGTCAGCGTCTGCGTTAGGACTACGCTGAACACGGCGTGAGACCGCGATGACTCGCTGTTCATGTTGGTAGCTGCGACGGTACGTGATTTGTTGCCTTCCGTCATCAAGTTGTCGATGTCCTGTTGGATTTTACACATGTCAATTGTTAGGACAAACATAAGGCCATCGGTAGACTTCTTTAAACTAAGCAAGGAAATGAAAAAGTATACAAGTAAGTTTATTCGATAATTAGAACTCAACTGAAACTGAAAGATTGTAATACACAACACGTTAAATAATTCAATTGAAAATACATCTTGTAAGCTACTTGTATGACAACAATGAATCCAACTTTGCGTGTAACTTTTCCTTCTGTAAACTAGTTTCGTTGCAACTTAAATCCATTTTGTTTTCCTTATCGATATTAAACGATTTATCGGAGCTCTCTATTGCGCTGCAAACTTAACAAGTTTGTAGATTATCCAACTTGTGGAAACGATTTCAAACTACTCTACTAGAATGGAAACTGGGATATTGTTACAAGCTCGATATGATTGGAAACAATGCATCTTAGAATACGAATATTTTAGGATTAACTGTATTTGTGTTCACTTAAAATCTAAGGGCTCTTGTTACATTAAATACTAGCGGATATCATCAAGTAGTTCGATTCAATTCGTTTACAATACATATTGTTAACTACGTAATCTGTAGTACATATCTACATATACTCGTACTTTAACATTCACGTTAACCACAAAGCATATCGATTGTTCGACATCACATTAGACGAGAGTATTTAATGTAGGTATATAGTTGTACAGTTATGCGGATAGATGTCGGTAATAGAGGTTGTATTGTCTCGATATTATTAAGTGCAAAACATGAGTATTGCTTTGAGGGGCCTGTATGTGAAATATATTAAATTACACACAATACTGAAGCCTGTCAAAATAAAGTAGCGCAACATAAATAAAGGCAATCTAATACAAGTTAATAATTAGAAACCGAACTGTATGTTACGTCACCAGCAGATGATGGATTCGAGGTAAATAATAATAGATAAAGTAATTCGTTTCGCAAATGGAAATTTCATATTAGTCCTTTCAGTTTTCTTTGCAGAAGTAATAACGTTAGACTAATTGTTTTCTTAGCCTCTTTTCATAAATTGAATTCTTTTTGTGTAGAATATGTAACATATTGATTTCGAACCACGGTCTTAAAGTCGTTTTTGTAAAAAGTCGCATAACTTGACGTTATATTTAATTTAAGCAACCGTTAGAGTACAAAATTGTTCATAAACAAATAACGTGCAAATATTTCAACAGCAACAAAACCTAAAAAGGAATTTGTACAGCCGTTTGTAAAAGTAAAGTTTATTACTTTCAGGGGCCGCAACAAAGTGAAACCGACCGCAGCGGCAACGGGTCGACGGACAAATTCTGTGACAGGGCAACACCAACTAAAACCGAAATTAAATTACATTGCTTCGACTGAGAACGACTGACTTAATGCTAGTATCACACGAAGGGATAGAAGTAAGGCAGAGCAGTAGATAATGCAGCATTGCTATTGCTTAACGTATACTTACTATCAAAACATAGCAATACTGCACTATCTAACTGCACTGCCTCTCTGCCTTGTGTGAAACTAGCATTACCTCTACTTCGTTGATTCATGTTGAGGCAATGCGCACTCAAACTTTACTAAACTAACGGAATCGCTGTTTGCAAAGCTTCAATCAGGAGCGCTGATTGCTTTCATGGCCTGATTCTGAATACATTTAACAATTCACTAGAAAATCAATTTGTATAATCTGAACAGTTTATCTCCATCGTCTCAGCTACAATATTTATAGTAATTACACTAACACTGAACTAAATTTATTTTTACATCTATACTAATATAATAAAGCGTAAACACACTTCTTTGTTGCCTAAGATGTCAGCAATCATAGCTTATTTTCGAATAAACTCTTTTTTTAATAAAAAGCCCTACATTTACGTCACGCTTTAGGATATATATTTTCACGCCGTTAAACTTAGGGGTAAATATTTTGGATAAAAACCCTAATGTGAGAAAGAGACCATAAGTTGTTGCCAACATTAAGGAAGCAAGGTTGCCATGGTTTGACATCATGTTATGTCATTTTGACATTTGCAATTGATAATTTGACAAATGTGAACAATAAAATGAAATTTGTATAATTTTATGCGAATGAAGTCGCATGGGAACAGCTAGTTTTAAATAGTACAGATCTTTACACTTATTAGTTGATCTTAAGACTATAGACTGTGGTACCTACTACAAAAAACTAAACACGTATTTCTTAAAACAAATGAAATCCTCGGGTTCGAACCGCAAATAAATCAGCATAATTTCTCATTCAGTATCGATAGCTCGGCCAGCGGCGTACATCAGAGCGTATGATTGAGTGCTTCAACTTATTTATACAGAACATTTACATTCATACAACCATTCCCACATTCATCTTTTATCAATTGTACATTTTATTACAATATTTTTCTCAATTTACAGTAGAATAAATTCTATAGTATTCTTCGAGGGACCCGGAGTGGAAGAAATGGAAATTTAGGGATAAGGGTAGACACATACTACAAACATATAATTGAAGGTTTTCATTGTATATAGACATGTATTATAACACATTTTGAACCTTCTTATCCCTCATTATCTAACAAAGAAAATATTATGTTTAAATTATTTTAGCTGTGCATTTTCCTCAATTATTTTTTATACTTATGTAGTTACATTACAGACTATTTTCGCACTATCAATTTAGATTACCTCACTTAAATATTTATGAATACTAACTCTAACAATGGTCTAGTTTAATATTTATAAGCAGAGAGCGTGGCTCACGTTAAGACAGACAGACCCAAATTATTCATTCATCGCGGTGGAATAATTTGTAGATTTGTTTTGGCAATGGTAAATATAAATGTTATGCCACTTTGATAAGTCCTCGTTTACTTTATCCCTTAATTCTTACATTTATGAGATTTAAATATGATAGGTCTCTACTACGAGGAGGGGTATGATCCTATATCTTACTAATATTATAAATGCGAAAGTTTAGATGGATGGATGGATGGATGTTTGTTAGAGTTTGTAGGCTAAACGGATCTCGATAAAATTTGGTATAGATGTAGAGGATAGTCTGGAAGAACACATAGGCTACTCTTTTTTGTTTTTTTTTTAATTGTGGACGGAGTCGCGGGCAAAAGCTAGTACTATATTCTTATACTTAGCAGCACTTCAATAACATTCACACCAAAATCTTGTATTATCCGTGCATTTTACCATTGTTACACTACATTGCAAACTCATTCATCCAAATAAAATAATATTTAATACGAGATTCCATAACTTAAAATATAATTCGACAGCTCTCAACGATTAATATCCGTATCAACTGGTTTCAATTTAGATAGAAGATATATGAAAATCACGATTTTCTTTTGATAATCCGACACAATCAACGAAAAAAAAAGTGAAAAGCTGCTATTAAATAAGCGGAAATTCAACTTCTAATAGTCATTCGAATTCTAATAAATTTAATTAAAAACTTATATAAGTATCTACATGGAAAACATTTGATTTTAACTAAGAAATTGTTAAAGGATATCTAAAAGAAGAATTTGATGGAACTACCCACTCTGTCTTATAAACAAAACTGATTTTCTACGTTACGACTGTCCGAAGGTAATAAAAGCTGACGATAATAAAAAATCGAATGCTTTTGTTACGATTAGATTGCGTGGGACAGTGACACCCGTCAACGTATCATGGCGGCCAATCCATCACACGCAGAAAGATTTATGAACCCTAAAAGCCAATAACAAAGTCATAAGAGCTAGATTAGCCGGAAATATTACTGTTTCCTAATTTTTTAATAGACTGTAGCAGTAATATGTATTTTAATACATAAATTATTTTCAACCACAAACGACTCTCGGAAATAGTGTATTTTAAAAACTTTGTTCGCCTTTTCGAATGAAATATGTACACAAACTAAAAGAACTCTACTTTCTTTTTTATTTTAAGTACAGGAGAGCTTTGTTGAATGAATTTTAAAGAAAAATGTTCTAAAACTTGTTTATAAAACATCTCAGAATTTTTGCAATATTATTTTGTTTTAGAGATTTTCGACATACTCTACTAGAAAGAAAATACTGTTATTAACATATGTTTATAATATATTCATATGACTTTTACAATAAAATATGCAAATTGCAATAAGGTATATTACATAGGTTGTGAGTATTGTATAAGTAAATGCATGTATGTTAGGTCCATGACGATCGCTATCGTGACTCGATTCCATTTGCAATATTGATGCGATCGATTCCTCATTATGCGACAAGCTAATTCACACAGACCACACTACTACACGTAGTCAATGGAAACTGAGTAATGTTATAGGGTTTTTTTTTCAGTAATCCTTACAAGTCAACTGTAATCAATAAAATCGAAGTTTAAAAACCAATTATTAGATAACAGAAAGTGTTTAATAAAATTCAGACATTAAAATATGAAAGTAATCAAATATTTAAATTATCCGTTAGTAAAATAAACATAAAATAGGAATGTTTTTATACAAAATTGAAAGCGACACTGAAAAATAGAACGGCGTCCTTAAATTTCATTATCGGACAATATTCAAAGACAGTCAAATTAGGGATTCCCATCTCACAAATGGAATTATTCATGAAGACTCCAATCCAATAAAGAGGGTTCTCTGAATCGATTTGTTCACTGCTGGCGTGAATTCGTATCTAAAAATACTTCATATGTTCACAAAAACTATAAAAATATTGTACAAATTGGAATACCAAATCAGAATTCCATTTTTAAAATAAAACCTAAAATAACGCTTCAAACATATAAAATCAGTTGAAAATTCCTTCAACTTTCAGTAGAGATTGAATAACATTTAATTTGAAACAGTAAAGTCAAGTTTACCAGTTAAAACGCAAAGATAACAAACTTTAACAGGAGTAAAAGCATAATTAAAGCCAGAATTACAAATAGCCGTAGTACGGGCAGCTTACAGAATCGTTGGAAAATGTTATTTTCGAAGGCAATGGTTTGAGTGGATGCTTGGGTCAGGATCGACAGAAATAATGAGGACTGTTAATCGTGTAACTTTGTAATGAAGCTGTCGAAACGACCAATCTGCCGGCGAACAACGATTTAATCAACGCCAGTGCAATTTTTCTCTTCCCGAATAATTAAGTTTGCAATAATTACTTAAACAATCCCTGGGAACAAAGTAAAATGCTTTCCTTTGAAATACAACCGTACCTTCCGAGAATGCTGCGTCGTCGCCCTACATTTGTCTTTGTTTCCGAAGTTTTTGCTACGTAATCATAAAATGTAATGAAGTTGTACGAAATGTACTTTGTTAAATTAATTTGCCATAATACTATTATTACTAATTCAACTTACTAGAATCACTTTATATAAAAATGTAAAAAACAAATTAAAAAGATTTCTATTTCATAAACGCTTTTGTCATAATTTCCGCAATAAAATAACTTTTTCTAAGGCCGTCTATTACAATTCAATTAAATTAAGGTTAAGAAAATAAAGCCGACTACTTTAAAATACTTTGTGCAACTTAATTAAACCGTTTTCCCTACGTTTCTAGTATTTAATTCAAAGTGAACCTTCATAAAGCAGAAGAGGTTTTTATTTATCAGTTTTTCGAGATCCCACTAATTACCACTTTGAAGTGGATTAGCAACTAAGAGCCATGAACGCTCAATTTGAATTTTCTATTGCACTAGGTTGAAGCCATCTTTACCTTTGCAATGTATTTTTTATTAAACATTGCCAAACATCAGCCACAAAAACAATTATATGATTTACTACACTTCTTTTAAGGTTCTTTAGAAGGTTTGGTGTTTTCTTACATATTTAAAACAGAGTAATCTGCCAGTGTCAAAGTCACAACAAACCTGAAATGAGGTGACGGCAAGCTGTGAGAGACCATCTACATATGGTCCGAGAACAGCATGTTCGCGCACGCGCAGCGAGCGACGTGTCGTCTCCGGGTCCAGTAGGTCGTGTACACGCTCGTTGTAGATCTCCATATACGACACCTCCACCTGTAACAAAAATATCCACACCTGTTTTATAAAGATGAGTAAATAGATGACAAAAGCAGCCATTAATGGACAGAGAGGATACCCAGAAAGAGACTACTTCATTTATCGTTTCTTTGAAAATGATTCCCAACAGTACAACGTGACCATTAGTATAATTACATTCCACGAGAAAATTTCCATGTAGAAGGATCGGTGCTAAAATACGCCTGAATGGAATCCCTCGGAAGATTTATTCCGAGCCCTGAATTCCGTTACAGCGCTAAAGGTAGAAAATAAGGTAAAATAATATGCCATAAAACACGCAGCATAATATACATTTTACATGACGCTGAAAATATGATAATGAAAAACATAATTCTAGTACAAATCATAAATTTTATAATTTTAGTTACGATGTTTCAAAACAATAAGTTAAAATTCAACTACAAATATGTAGTACTTTTATTGAAAACACTAAAAACTTGTGAAAGATGGGTTTGGAAGGGCTTGAAAACTACAAAATAACTTGTTTGTGACAAGATAATTAGTATAACTTGTCACCAACCAAAAGTATGTTTGAGCCATAATCACTTGTCATAAAAAAAGAAAAAGACGTTGACAGTTGCTATATTTAGGACGTCATCCTTCCGAACTCCCACGGGCGATGGCTGAGCGTTCACGGTGACAGGTGACAGGGGACGTACGCGCTGTCCTCTAATCTGAGGGGAGGGATTTTTCTTTGTCCATTACGATGGACAGAAATAAGAATTTGTGTTTTATTTTTAGTTAAGTCTTGTTTACCTCTGTTCACAAAGCTTGTTTATTAAAAATGCTTGCCTACATATTGAAAGTTTTAACATAAGCACCTAGAGAAAACAGAAATTTATTTTAAAACTAATGTGCTGTGGGTATGGAGTATGCACACTACATTAGAAATAGTCGTTTACCTTATATGTGAGTGCGGGCGGTGACTGTTGTCTGGCTATCCTCTCGAAGAGTGCGTCGCAAAGGCGCGGGATGATGCCGCCCTCGTCGGCGCCCGGCGCGCCCATCATCGTGTACGATTTGCCTGAGCCTGCAAAAATACTTGACTTTAGCAACACAATTTAACGCCTTAGCAACAACTACCAGACTTAAATTCGGTTCCAGGCTAAAGATTAACGAATTTTCGAAGTTTCAAAGTTTGTAAGACTCAATATTAATCAAGTGTCTGTAATTGATTTTATAGGAAGAGTTGTTTAGCATGTTGTTAACCAGCTTTACGTAATCTGATAACAAAAGACGGAGTCGAAGTTTGAAACAAAAGTTACGACGTCAAAAAGAGTTTCTTTCGTCGTCTTAATAATGTTATCATTAAAATATTGATGTGATTAATCACAATAATTAAACAGTTTTAAGTTTTTTTAATTAGTGAAATGCTATTAAATATTAAAAAGCATATAATAGTAAATTAAAAACATGAATTTACTTTAAGAGCAGCATAAAAATCTTATTTCATTTTATTAGAATGTACAATCTTTATTAGACACTTCTAGAGACATGATTGAAATAATAGAACATTATACCAAAAAAGTTTTTACTTTGTAAAGTTATTTAAAAGTCTACATATTATTTTAAGGTAAAATGGCTAATGTTAAAGTCGAGTCGACTTCGATAATTGTCTCAAATTGTCGCAGCGCAGTTGAGTCGTAATGTGCAAAATTTTAATTAACGTCCCGCTGTCGAGCGCGCACTTCAAACCAACTAAAACAAACAACATGTTATTTTACGTACAACTTTGTAGACATTTGAAAACCTTTAATCGCGAAGTTACGTTATTTCTTAGATGAATGTATTAATTTCTGTTTGTGTCATATTTTTCTAATCTTACTTCTTACTTCTATTATAAATGCGAAAGTATATATGTTTGTTAGGAGTTTGTAGCCTAATCGGCTGAAGGGTTCTCGATCGAATTTGGCATTGATGTAGAGGATAGTCTGGAAGAACACATAGGCTACTTGCTTTTTTTTATACCGCGCGGACGGAGTTGCGGGCGAAAGCTAGTTTGACATAAAAGCACTAATACGTAAGAGTAATATTTGACACTAAGGTACTCTATAAATGAAAAAGAAGAAATATTATTCTCCTTAACGATTGAAGCAATTGATTACGTGTACATGTTTCACAGAGTAAGGGAATTAAGCGCAATCCTGCAAGCACTCGCGTATACCAATTCTATTTCAGTCCAGCTTACGAAAGCTTTTGAAGGCTTACCTTTCTTTAGTTATAGATACCTAATAGTTTAATACGTTTATCTAGTCCTTCATGTTTAACTAAAGTAATTTTACTAATATTATAAATGCAAAAATTAAATGGATGGATGTTTGTTTATTACTAAGTATTTCCAGAACAGATGAAATTTACATTTGCCATAGATATAGAACGTAATCTGGTAGAATACTTAGGATACTAATCATTTTTTTTTAATTCCTCGCGGACCGAGTTTCGCGCGACAACTAGTAGTACATAATATTTATCATGGGTATATTTATACCTTTAAATAATTTTCATTAATAATGCGTTCCGATATAAATAACTAAACTATACCAGTATTATAACATAATAATATGTATGAAAAATGAAACTGTTCATTTGTTCCCATCACAAAAACATAAAAGCAACATTGTGATTGCATTCGCATAAGTTTTTCTGCGACATTGTGTAAACTCGTATATTTCATGTCGCGTTGCAAACTCCGGTATAAATCTGATCACGACAATACCTACTCAAAGTTGTATCTTCCGTTACTCTTTCTTACTATCCTTTGTAATGGAAATATCAAATTTAATATCAACATTTACTTTGTGTTGTTTACATTTATTTGTGTAAAATAAACACAATTTATTTGTGACAAAGGTCTCAAACATTTTAACTTGAAGACTGAAAGTATAAAAACATTTTCATGTACATTCACTGACAAAACATTCTTTGATTGCTTTAAAAAAACCTTTATTACATAATACCTAATTGAGCGTATAAGCGATTGCTCCTAGAGAATGTACTAGACCGATAGCAGAGCTTTTAGAAACTTGATCGTGTGATGCAACAATTTGTAATGAGTTCGCACACGAAGCGTTGACCTTTAAAGTTAGCTAATTAATTCGGTACATTGAACATAATAAAGACAAACATTAGGTAAATACAAACTAAAATGTATGAATAGGTATCCTTATAACCCGAGTAAATAGAAACTGGAAAACATAATTTATAAAAAGAGATATAAATTGATAGCACAAAATATAAAATCTAGACTATAATTGTGTAAATGTTGAACAATTTCTCTTGAAGAATACGCTCTTTGATTCGATAGAAAACACAAAAGATCGTTCTTTTGTAAGTCGATCTCGTCACAAAGGAATAAAAGGACGGCTTTTTACAACTGTGATCTATTTCTGAATAAAGTAACATTTATGACTTCACTTTTACATCACAATCAAATTTAAGAGAATGCAGCGATAATAAACTAACTGATTTACTACGTTTAAAGATTTATCTAACCTTTAAGCATAACATTTTTTTATAATAAAAGACGGCAAACGAGCGGCGAGAACACCGAGGTAGTCAACGATGCCTATGGACATCCGCAACACCAGAGAAACTACAAATGCGTTGCCGGCCTTTGAGGAAACGATAGGCTCGCTTCTTGAAGGACTAAGTCGTATTGGTTTGAAACCGCCACCGACTAGGATAGACCGTTCCACGACGCGGGTGCGCGGGGCAGAAAGTTCCGCGAAAACCGCACGGTTGTCCTGTCACCACCACCTGGCGGTCTATCGTATCGTCGGATGACGAAACTCACATTTACACTAAGCTAACTGATTTCTCAAAGTTAATTAACATGTTTGTAACGTATTGATATTCCAGCAATACAAATTAAAATACAAAAATACACCAGAGATCTGGTATGCGTGGGTGCGTTATCTCCATCATAAATTAGGAGCATAACTAGGCACACGTATGCATTCAAGGAGCAACCACCATTATTCTTCGAGACGATTTTACGATAACGCCAACTTTAGTACCTTCAACATAAATTTCCCCGATATAAATTGTTTGCGGCAATACAACTTAGATTTATTTTAAAATTATTTCTCTATTTCTATTCCTCCATTACATGTGCCAACCTTGTTCGAATTGCTAATATCATGTGTAGTGAAAGTAATATAATGTATAAGATGTCGGAAGAGCCATTAAGAAAATGGGAATAGAGAACCGTCCTATCAAATCACATCATTATGACCTCACTTAAACAACTGTTCTGCTCGCGGCTACTAGAAGTTAAAATCGCTTTAACTAGAAAGCTGCAGAGATTCGTGCTGGCGTTAAACGAATTGGAGCAAAATGCATTGACCTTTTAAAGTTTTAATACAATTGAAGCAGCGGCGCTCGTAGCCAAAGTGTTACTCCAGATTGGCAGAGATAAAATAAAATAGGATCTTATGCAGGGCTTGGAGAATGAAAGTTAGGGCGTGACTTCGGTCCCGTGTGAGGGATGATCCCGCTCCCTGGCTCGCAGCCAACTGCCTACTATGCGCTTACATCTACCGACAAAGTTAAGCTGTATCCTAGACTATTCTCTTTAATACACAACACTGCAACATAGTTTCAAACAGAATATATTAATCGTATTGCATTATGTAAGTTTTAACCAGAGACACAGTTAAGCTGGGCTTTGTTGCCATTACACGCTTGATATCCTCTATATTTAGACATTTCTATTATGCAAAACGTACATCTGTTCAATATGTATTAACGTATATTCTTTCCATTAAACTAGAGAACACATCAAAGAGAAAATACAAACAAAACCCAAACTTTATCCTCAATCTATTTCAGTGAGAATCAAAGACTTCGACTTGAAATATGCAGCGTTTAAAATGCCTTGTTGATATAAACTAACGAAGCACTCACGGTCAAAAACAAGAGAATTATAACATACGTGTTTTGCGTCAACTGCATCAAACCTAAGAGCCGTGACATTTCCGGCGGACACCCTAACCATAGCTATACTCGAGATCAACGATGCAAAGCACTCAACCTGTCATTAGTTAACCATTGCGTAACGTAGAGGACATATCTTTAAACTGCGTATTACTATTAACATTTGATTAGCACTGCAGTGTCGACATTTTGCTGCAATATTTAATTAGGAGACACGGTCAGTGCGATGCGGGAGCTGAGGGTGGCGGCTCGTAATTGGGAATCATTTAACGATCATCTCCGGTATATAAAGAGTGCTGCATCGGGGACAATTAACGAATGCAAACACTCACCCTCCCATACTATACGTTGGTCCAAGTAATAAATGAAATAACTTTGAGACGTATACAAAAATATTTTATTTAAACAATCACATCACACGATAATAGCTAATGTTATAACCAAAAATGGTTAACACTGTACTTAAACAGCTTTGTTATGGTAAAATATTATTAACGAATAATCAATGAAAAATACTTGTGCAAATAGTGATGAAAATATGTCAAAAAATTTAATGAAAAAATAAATTATTTACTTTATGAAGATAAAAATAGTGAAGATTTTACATAAGATCGGCTCTCTAGACTTGTTCCCCAGCGCGGCTGACACAAAGCTGGCACCTGCGATTTTAGGTCACCCGGACGCCGTACCTGCTTTAAACTCTTTTGTTCCCGTTTCCACGAAGCGCGACACATACAAAAATATATTTTAAAGACGTGACTCGTTCAAAGCTTTTTTTTTAATCAAACCATTTCCATCTTACTATAGGTAACATTGATAAAGTAATTAACATTTTTTACAATTGTTTTTTGCGTTTGCTAATTTTAACGTATAAATTGAATTATTCAATTACAATACTCCTACAGCGTAGCAAGAAGCTCTACGACGTAGATCTGGTAAAGTCTACGAAGACGATGAATCTTAACAACAAGAAAATATTTACATACCTATTGGCAGTTTACTCTCATGAAATCTATTATTCAGTGTAAATGACTAAATTTTTGACATAAAAAAGTCCTGCAACACTTTAGTACGAGTATTTTTATATGTCGATTT